AAATGTACAAAATATAAAACCAGTAAAAAACTGTTTGAAGCAGAGCAGTGATTTTTACAGGAGTGTGTGTTTGTGTGCCGGGGGTGTAGCGCGGTGCAGCAGTGTCCTGACGTCACCCTGACAGATCCAGGACAACAAGAACTTTCAGGTACCGATGCTCAGTCCTTTGGACCAGGTGTTTTCTGGGTCGGACTTTTTTGACTCTGTCCAACAGGGAGATAAAGAAAATTACAATTTTGGAGTCGTGAGTCTCAGAACGTTTCTGTGACAGGGCTGAACGACTTCCTGTCTGTATCTGTGCTTCACCTGAAAGTGTAGGAGGGTGGAAGTCAAGAAGGTTGTGAAACAAAAGTTTTCATTTTCAAGTATAGTATATTTAGCAGTACACACGCAGTGAGGCCAGGGGGCAGTATATGCTGAGTGGGGAAGGCCGAGCTAATGTTGCTAACAAGGCTGTTATCCACTGAAAGTAATACAAGAAAATACAGAGAACCAAATACTTTCTGTGACTCTCAGAACCCGACTGAGGGTTGAGGGTTGTTTTGTGAGGATATCCTGTGTTTGAGATTTGAACACATGACTAAAGCGCAGACGTTTGCCACTGTAGATCAGCTGCTCCTTCAGACAGGCAGAGTGTGTGAACTCTCACGTTCACGTTGATATGGTGAAGTTTGAAGTGCACGGCCTCAGAGGGTGAGATCGGTTTAACTCCGCAGCAGAGCTGTGGGCAGAGCGGCACACGCGGCTCGATAAATCACGCAGCAGAAGAAGAAGAAACTTGATTTCAAGGAGATGTATCGCTGCAACACCAGAGCCTTCAGGGAGCAGTGGAGGAACAGAGCAAAGAGAGAGAGACAGAGTGTTAACAAGGACGCTGCTGACACGGAGCGGAGGACGAACCACGACGGCCTGCAGCAGTTCACGGTGCAACAAACACCTGGGGCGAGGACAACCACCGTATTTTTAATGATTGTGCGGCAAATGTAGTCACGTACTGAACCTTCTTTTACTCAACAGGTCAAACACGTTTTATACAGGTGTCAAATGTAATAATTACTGAACGGACCAGGACACTAGCACTTCCTGTTGTCTGTTACTTCCTGTCATTTATTAATAAAATCTTCGACCTTAGCCTAGCATGTCAACAACAAAATTATATATTATATATTATAAATATGTTCAGAAATATAGAATATATATGAATATATATACATATATATTAAAAGCAAAGCAGTGGTTCTCAAACTAAGGTTTGCCTACCGTACTTGACTTGTGTCGCTGCAGTCACTGTTTTAAACTGAAACTCTCAAACAGAGAAGTGGGAGAAGAATATTAACTGAACATGTGACCCTTCAGAGGTCGACGTGAACCAGTGAAACAACCACACGTGTGTGTGTGTGTGTGTGTGTGTGTGTGTGTGTGAGCTCTGAGTTGAGTTGGTTTTAAAAAGCGTTAGCCGCGTCTGTGTGTCGTAGATCACATGAAGGTTCTGGGGGAACTCTAAACGTTAGGATTCTTTACTGAACTGGTTCCAGCTCCACACCTGGGGATCTAAAAAGGTGAATAAACAGCTTGCATGCTGGGAACTGTTGTTTTCCTAATCAGGCTCCTGGGAACTGAAGATGGACCTTGACTGTTGGAGAAGTCAGACTGCTCTCCTGCCCCCTGTTGGCTGTTTGGCCTCCATGTGAATCCACACTGTTGTTGTTTTGCTCTTTAAGTAAAACTCTGAGTGTGTCTATCTGCCCCGCTGCCCCTCGGTGTCTGACTCTATTGCCCAGTCTGCATGATTATTCTCTCTCTCCTTCAGCTCAGTCTGCTCTTGGACGCCCATAATTGGCAATAAAAAAGACAAAGTGCTGGTTGGAGTCCAGTGAGGGTCACATAATGGAAAAAGCAGAAAAGTCCATGTTTGTGAGATAGATTTCCTACTGGGCCAACGCTCCGTGGCAGCCTCATCTGTTAGTGTGTGTGTGTGTGTGTGAGGACGCTCTCATTTACAACCAGCACCAACGGGACTGTATACACATGATCCATCACCACACACACACACACACACACACAAACCCTCGTTTTTGTGTTTTGTGAGCACATAAACACAAAGCATTCCCTCGCCCCCTTACCCTAACCTTGAGAGAGAGAGAGAGAGAGAGAGAGAGAGAGAACAGTAGTTACATGAAAAAAAGAGTGCCTCACAAAGATTAACATTTTAAGTTTGGATGGATCTTGGTTCAGATGTCTGATGAAGCTGGTGACCAGCTGACCAGCTGACCAGGTGACCAGCTGACCAGCTGACCAGCTGACCAGGTCCACAGCCATAACATGCGGACCACAGTACAAATAGTACAAATTTGTGGCACATTTTCTCATTTAAATCTGTAATTCCTAAACGGTCCCTTCAGTTATTTACAGATGTGATAATAAAACACTAAAAGAAAATAAACAACAGTTGTTTTAATTCGTTCATCACTGTTTACTCCACTGCTCTGCTCCAGTCTGGGACACTGACACCAGCACCACTGACCTGCTCCTGGTCCTTTGTATTCAGACGGTGTCGATGTCCACAGGGGTAAACATTGTAGTACTTTTTACTGGCGATGTAATAACTGTTGCCTTTAGCACCACCGTGAGGCTGACATCCTTCCTTATGTAGCCACTACAGGATGAATTCTCTGATGACTCGATACGTTTTTATAGGAGAGCCGTAGTAACTCAGCTCCCTGCTAAACTTTTATTATTTGGTAAAAAGTAATAATATACAATAAAACAGCCCTTTAGTTACCAACACGATGTAAGAGTTCACTTTCGAACTCGAGAGAGCGAACATAAACATAACCCTCACATAACGACGACCTTTCTTTGGTTAGCTGTGAATGCTAGTAATTATTACGTCACCATTTTAAGAATAATATCATATTCTTAAACCCTAATAAGAAAAAGCCTGTTGAATAGTATAATATTTGAACGTTCTTTTACTGAAATTCAATGCAGTTTGATATATATATATATATTTATATAAGTTGAATTTGCTACGTCATATGTTTTGTGTTCAGTAAAGAAGATTTGGTGACCTATTAAAAAACCAAATCCAAAAAAAAAAATCAAATTTTATAGCTTACATTTTTTATATATAAATTATTATAAATGCTAATGTCGTCCGACGTGGTGTAATCCACGTGAAATACAACAAATCACCGCAAAGTGACGCTGTTTTCTCTGGATGGAGTTTGGGCTCCGTCGATGATTGACAGCTTCCGTTGAGCCAACGTCATCTCTTTTCTGTCCAATCAGAAACTACGCTTCTTTGTTGTCGTACAAGTACCGACAGAGTGGCTATCTGTGTGAAAGCATCTCGTAACAAGGTAAGTTTCGACACTCAACCGTATTTTTCAACGTATGCGCTATCGGCAATGTGCGTTTGACGTTACCAGAGTATTTTTGGGTATGTTGGTGTTAAATAAGACACCAGAAAAGGCTTTAAAATGAGCTGAGGCCTTCTGGTTAGTTGACTGTTAGCAGCAGAGCTAGCAATGACACATTGGAACTTAACAACACTTGACGTGTTAAAAATCTAGTTTTTTAACACGTCATTATTAACACCCTTCCACTCGTAAACTCAAGGTCTTTGCCTGTTCTGTGTGTCATTCCCGAGGTGCTGATGAAAAAGAATGATTTAGATTTAGCCGGTTGGTGTAGCACCAAAGCTAACGTTAGCACAGGGGCTGTGTCTTCATCAGATTACAAGGTGTGTTGAACTGCGTCAGAAAGTTGATGAAAGGTAAACGCAAAACGTACGGTTTGTTTTGATTAATACGTCGATGTAATGTGGACTCGTACTCGGGTCCGATGACGTTATCACGGCTGTGGGCACGTTTTGGCTTCCGTTAGTTTGACGATATTTCCTCAAGTTTCACACAGGGAGTGTGGCTCAGTCATAATGACAGGAGAGTAAACTGGAGGTGGATTATGTTGAATATTATCTCACCTTTGAGATAGTTTAGGTTCAGGTCATTTAATTTTGAACTCATAGTCACAAGTTTTCCTTTTTGAAGTTTACACAATATTGTCAATTCAAAGTAAAACATGGTCAAGTCAAACGGTTCCAAGTCAGGTGAATAATTAATACACATGCTAACACATGTCTTTGAAAACCTCAAAAATGGAAAAAGATTTTGAAACTGGATCAACAACAATACAATTGTGATCAAAGTTGATTGAAAACCTGTTAAAATGATAATGAAGTATTTGTTTCATTTTCTGTGATAATGAAGCCATGATAATGAAGTATTTGTTTCATTTTCAAAAACTTCTTTAAAGGAACTAGATTGCAGTGCTTGGATGAGGCAAAGGAGCAGGTTGTGACCTGGTCTCACTTGTGTCGTCTGCCAGAATTCAACAAAAATGAAAACACCAACTGCAGATGTATTTATTTTTAATTTATCTATAATTTTGCTCTTTTTTTAACCAATTAATAAAACTAACAAATGTCTGTTAGTTGTAATTCTATGTCCATTCTGAGTGTTTTACATTGAAATCTTTTTGGTTTCCTTTTTTCCCATTTAGTTAATCTGAGTAGCTCAAACTATAATGGTCTTTTATATGTTTAATATTATATCAATATAGTATTATTTATTTATCAGCTGCTGCAGTTTCATTTATTTTCACGATCTCTCGTCAGTTTGCTTCATATAAGAACAAAACACGTTTAAGGAGTGGGTTCACGGTATTTGTTTTATCTGTCTCAGTTAGAGAAAAGGAGGAAAGTACTTCGTTATTCCCACTGGGGTAATTAACCAACAGCAGCAGGAACCAGAAATCACAGATATTAAGGCACTTGTGAAAATGAGACACTTGAGACTCACAGAAACTACGAATGTTTAAACCCTGCATACGTTTCCAGCTCCAGCCGTGCAGTTTGTTGTCCATAGACATTTAGTGTTTAATAACTGAACGGCTCCGTCCCAGGAAGGTTATTGTTGTAGTGGAAAATCATTTTGCTTCATGTTCAGCAAATGTAATAATGTTAGAGGCGTTGGCAGATGTTTCCGCGACACCTTTAGACACCGCCGTGTTGAAGGGATTTCATGGAAAACAATTGATTTGACTGTTGTTTTCAAAGAGCTGTTGAAGTGGAAGTGCTGGGCGTAAAAAACCAGAGTAAAAGCTCGCTGCTGCCACCGACGATTGGAAGTTGTTTTTGTCTCAGTAGCTTTTGTGGCTTTTTAGAACAATTTAATGACATTTTAGTCTGTGGAGAATCTCTGAGTGTGATCAAATTTATAGCTCAGTGACTTCAGATCTTTTCTCTCCTGGATTAGAGTCGACACACGGCAGGATATCTGTGGGTTTGTATCCCACCAAAAAGACAACTATTATTATTATTATTATTATTATTATTATTTGAAGTGTGAATGAGAGGGTATATGTCTCTGTGTGACCCCCCCCCTCCTGCCTCCCCCCACTCCCTCCTTCACACACACACCTCCCCACTCTACTCTCCCCCAGTGACCCTAGAAGATAAGTGAGTGAAGTATGACCCACCATTTTCAGTCCTGATATTGTTTTTATGCCGTGTCGTAAATATGGCCTCGTGTCGCGGCACATTTGTTTCCACTGATTCACATCTGATGTGTTTGTGTGTGTTATTCACCGCTGTCTCAGACTAAAGGCTGTTTCACTTAAGAATAAAGTCTATTCCGTAATGCAATATTTCTCAAACAGTGGGGCGGGCCCCTGTGGGGGGGCGCAGTGAGGTGCATAATTGTACCACTGCTGTAATGATAACAACCCTGCAGCCACTAGGTGGCAGCAACTCATACAGTGGTTTGTACAGATAAAAATATACATGTTATCAGGTATTTGAGCGTCGGGGGGGGGGGCATCACAGATTATTATTGAGAACTACTGCCTTAATGGAATGTTCCAGAAACAGTGTTTTTTTAGGTGTGTAAGAAAATATCAATACATTGAAATATTGCGATAATTCGTTTCACGATACTGTATTAATATTTGTCAGCACTATTAATGTTTATTAATTAACAATTAACATGCTAATATTTGATTGATGACCCTGTATCGTGATACGTATCGTATCGCCAGATTCTTGCCAATATACGCCCCCTATGTGCCTTCATGCCATATAACCCTGAGCTGTCCTGTCATTGGTCGGTGGTCGCTGTGCTCATTTTACTCACTGTGATAACTTTGCGTTTGGTTTGTCCTTTATTCCTAATGACTGTCTCTACATTCAGGGTTTTATGTTTGTGTTTTTCCTCGCTCTCAGTGTGTCAGGCAGTTACAGCAGGTACAGTAACAGCTGCAGGTGCTTCATTTGGCTGCAGCAGATGCACGTCCTTCTGTTCAGCCAACAGGGAAAGTGCACTTCGACTTTGATCGCGGTCCAGCGGGACCGCATTGGGAAGACGGATGTTTCAGATTCAACAGCCTGTGGATTCACACCAGCAGAGAGCGAGACCAGTTAGAACCAGTCGGACGGCAGCCTGGCCCGGCAGCAGGTGTCCAGACGAACTGGTGCAGTGATTTTCAGGGAAACGGCCGCTGGTAATGAAGCAGCGCTGATGTTTCTGTCATCGTTCTACTGGCTTCACTGGAACTTAACATCGATCACATCTGGGGGAGGGCGGGGTTGGGGGGTGGGGGGGTTACTGTGATGTTACAACAGCAGCCAGTGTCTGTGAGTCCACAGGACGTCTGCTCCCATTGGTCCAACCCAGACGTAGAAGTACGATAAATGACACGTAAAAGTCGAGGCTAGTATGATGGACATGTTTGGTGGGCCGGATTAAAATGCCAAACGGGCCACATCCGGCCCTCGGGCCGTAGTTTGCCCAGGTCCTCCAGCTGTTTCTGGTTAGAAGAACTGGTTTGTGATGGAACTGAAGTTTGTCTGTGAGCTGGTTCACTGGGCTGAGTCTCCATGACGTCGCTCCAATCCTCGCTCCTCTTCCTGTTGGTAAAACCTGTGTCTGACATGACACACACACACAGATGGTTCAGTCCAGACTGCTTCACTCTGAGAGAGGGGGGACAATGAGGATGGTTTTGTTTTCATCACGGCCACAGGAGTGTGTTGTTAAAGTGCCACACAAGTTGGAAGTGCACTGCTGGGCTGGAGCTGAGTTCTTTAGCCAACTCTAACCTGATAATTGTGTGTGTGGTTCCGTCAGATGGAGGTGGAGCAGCTCCTGTCTCTGTCAGGCTCAGCCCTGGCCCAGGCTGTCAGCTCCCTGCTGGAGACTCCAGGCCTCTACGTCTTCTCTGACATCCTGGAGCTGCCTAATGTCAGAGAGGTAAGAGAGCACACACACACACACACACACACACACACACACACACACACACTCCTCCCACGCTGTCTTATCTATTATAGACTCAGACCTCACACGGTCGTGCCGTTTTACAAATGAGTACGACACTGACAAATGTCGAACGATTAGAGTTATGTGGTGAAAACTGTGTGGGTTTTTTTTTTTTTTTTTTGAAGCAAATTTTTATTTCCCAACATCAGAGGAACATTTTCTCCTTAAGTGGAAATAATGTCGATGACAGTGTTTCAGTAGTGAAACATATCAGCAGCAGACACACACACGCACACACACACACACACACACACACACACACACATATATATATTTATAGATCTGATCTGAGCTTCAGTTTAATGTGTATATATATATATATATATGTGTATATATATATATATATATGTGTATATATATATATACATATATATATATGTGTATATATATATATATATATGTGTATATATATATACATATATGTGTATATATATATGTGTATATATATATATACATATATATATATATATATATGTATATATATATATACACATATATATATACACATATATGTATATATATATACACATATATATATACACATATATGTATATATATATACACATATATATATATATACATATATATATATATATATATATGATAAGAATCAACTTCTGTTTGGACTGAACGCCTCGTTCAGTCACTCAGACTCTTCAGCCCAGTCGGAGTCTTCAGGCGTCACTGCTGCTCTCTGGGCCGCACTAACTAACAGGAAGTGACAGAAGAGTCCACGGAGGCTGTGAACCTCCAGACTAACAAGTCATTAAAGGAGCTGGGAAGTTTTCCTGCTCCTCCATCACTCACCTCCTCCTCTCAGGACGTTGTCAGCATTGTCTCTCTCTCTCTCTCTCCCTCTCTCTCTACCTCTACCTCTCTCTCTACCTCTACCTCTACCTCTCTCTACCTCGACCTCTCTCTCTGTTTACTGATATTATTAGTTTGGTAGAGAAACTCTCCACAGATTGTGTTAAAGTTTAAGGACAAACTGGACGCTCAGATTTACAGCCTGTTTTCTTGTCAGCCTTTCAGAATCAACCAGCTCTGACGTGAGACAAATAGAAGGAGGATGTTTTTATACATTTGGAAAAGTTTCTTTATTTTTTCTAACAGTTGCTTTTAAAAGAAAATATGAATCTGACTCAAATGTTTTCATTTCACTCCAGACGTGTTGCGTCAGTTTCTATATGAAAAAATCAAGTGCTGTGCAGCGTCTTCATATACTGTGTCTGTGGAATCACTCTTTAACCACCAACAGCAGCAGCAGCAGCATCAGCAATAACAGCAGCATCATCAGCAGTCAGAATAATAATAATAATAATATTAAGGTCAGAGGTGGTCAGTGATCCAGTCCTGCTGTCACTGATCCAAATGACTGAATTATTAATCATGAAAACAGATGAAAAGAGAATCATGCTAAGATTCTCTTTAGGAGTGACAAGAATGGACAGGATCAGGAATGAGGTCATTAGAGGGACAACACAGACAGGAAGGTTTGGAGAAAAAGCTAGAGAAGAAAAAAAAATTCAAAAATTTTTTTTCCCAAATTTTTTTTTCAAAAACAAATTTTCAAAAAAAAATTTCAAAACAATTTTTTTCAAAAAAAAAAATTCCCAAAATTTTTTTTTTGAAAAAAAATTTGTTCTCAAATTTAAAAAAAAAAATTTTAAAAAAATTTTTTCAAAACAAATTTAAAAAAAAAAAAAAAAAAATTCTTCAAAAAAAAAGGGACAAAGCTGAAAGAAGAAGAAGAAGAAGAAGAAAACAGCCCTCAGAGATTTAGAAAAGTCTTAAGACTTTACTGACCGTCCTGATCTCAGTGAAGCTGGTCCAAAAATGGATTTGTTGTTCATTATTGATCACTTTGCTGATGTATCATTAATGAGGTGGTCTGTCAGTAGTCAGTTCTGTCAGTAGTCCAGAACAGCCCATCATTTATTGACCGAGTTTTCAAACGTTCTGCTTTGACCTCGAAAGAAAAAAAACGGTAAACTCCAGTGATCGGTCACAGGGAGTGGGAACTGAACCTGATCACACTGGTCTTTTATCGACGCTCTGGTTCATTACTACATGGTACAGGGTTCACACTCTGGTCGAAGTACCTCTGTGTACCATGGGTTTAATTTCATGGTATCAGTGTTCTCTATCACTGTATGGATTTAAAAACATTTTTTATAAAGAATGAACAGTCGACTCCTGCTGACGTGGGGTCATTTATTCCTACTCTCTTCTCTACGTGGCCTCAGTATTTTGTGAATTAACCTTGTTTTTGTTTAATTACATTTTCGGCTCAGCTTCTCCTCAGAACTGTTGGGTTTGCAGATGAAATGAAGCTGCACTTTTCTGTGGTGCCTCATTATCCCTGTGTTCTGCTGCCTCACACCCTCCTCTCTCTCTCTCCCCCCCCCCCTCCCCCCCACAGCTGGAGAACGGCCCTCATGCTCCAGTGTTCCAGCTCCTCAACCTCTTTGCCTATGGAACCTACTGCGACTACAAAGGTACTGCAGCTGCAGCACGGTGTAAATAAATAATACAGGAGTCTGTGACTCTTTTTATTAGCAGCTGTATATCTTTGCTGCGAGGCAGGACACCGTAAACCCCCCCCCCCACACACACACACA